TTAAGATTCTAACCTACTGCTCCTTTCCGCTCTTGTGACTATCCTGTGTACAAAAATTCCTTGTTTCCATCCAGATGCTGGTGGCAGCTCACACCTGTAATCCTAATGAGGACTGCACATCCAAGCCAGTCCAGGAAGAAAAGTCTCTGAGACTCTTATCTCCAATAAGCTACCCAAAAAACCAGAGGCGGAATTAAAGCTCAAGTGGTAGAGCACTAGCCATGAGCAAAAGAAGCTCAGGGAGAGCGCCCAGGTCCTGAGTTCAAGTCCTAACGACCCGCACACACATGAAAATTTCCTTTGTTTCTTAACTCGCAAGACATACACAAATTACTGACAGCTTATGTTCTCTCTCTCTCTTTTTTTTTGGTCAGTCATGGGGCTTGAACTCTGGGCTTGGGCGCTGTCCCTCAGCTCTTCAGCTCAAGGTTAGTGCTCTATCACTTGAGCCACAGCACCACTTCCACAGCTTATGTTTTCTCAAATCCCACAGCATCACTTACAAAATTCATAATTTAACCATTATTCTATTTCAGTAATTGTGAAGCAAATGGATGGTGAATGTGCTTTCTCTCTCTCTTACACACACACACACACACACACACACACACACACCCCTTTCTGAGGACATGAGCTGGAGAAACCACACTAAGAGGGCTTCTATACCGTGGACTTGGTAGATTACTGAAATGTTCCTAGAGGAAGGGGAGGAATCACAATTAAATACTTTTAAGAAGTGCTGACTATTAAGACTACTTTAGTCTAAAAAACTTTGAGAAGTTCTAACACAAACTTATTAAACCTGCAGTGGCTTACAGCTGTAATCCCAGGTACTTGGGAAAGACCAGCATGGGCAAAAACTTGCACTAGCAAGACTCGATCTCTAAAACAAGCTGGTGCAGTAGTACATACCTGTGGTACCAGACAATCAAGAGGCAGAAGCAAAGATATTAAGATCTGAAACCAGCCCAAGACCCATTCGGGGGGGGGGGGGGAGACAAAAAACTGAAAGCAAAAGCGCTGGGGGGTATGGGCTCAAGTGGTAAGCCCAAGTCACAGAGTCTAAGCCCTAGTACTAAGGGAAGGAGAAAGTAAAAGAGGGAGGGGAGGTAGAGAAGCTGCTAAACCCAAGATGTCCAAATCTATCTGATCAGGCAGTCCCTACTGCTACCTCACTACCATTTCCCAGAGCAGGAATCTCTGCTGCTTTCATTCAATCCTTTCCCCAAGCCCCTCAGCCCCCTGCCCCCAATCCACTGACCTCCCTACAACCCACAAAGCTCATCAGATTCAGACAGACTGAGCAGGCCTAACTCAATAAAACAGACATTAGAGCTATGCGCCACTGTTCTAGAAATTAAGAGAACAATGGGATGCTGTGATCTGAGATCACACCTGACTTCGGAAGGCTCACCCCTCCTCCACGCCCAGGCCACCTCTTCTCTGGCAGAAGGGGAGTGAAGCAGGCACACCGGGTCAACTGGCCAGCACATCAGCTTTCTAGAACCTACCTGGCCATCATTCAAATCATCACTTCAACTCTAAAATGAGGACACAAGCAGGAAAATAGAGAGAGAAAAGAAAGGGAAGCCACAGCAGAGGGCTCCAACAATATTTATATCACATTACTCACACCTCCTGTGTGCTTCCAGACTCCGAAGTCTCTAATTAACCAAAGTGACTACAAACAGTTGCCTTTTCAGAAACTGAAGGGGGTTCACCGGCACAACCCCACAGGGGGCCCTGATGCTGGGCAGGGACCTATGTCCTCCCCACCTTCCCATCAGGCAAGGGGCAAGAGGGAGGCCTGGAGAAAGCAGAGAAGATAGAGCGCCAAGGGGCTGCAGTGGCTGCACCTGCCTGTCACACCTGTCTGTCAAACTCTCAGGGCACAAATCCTTCATGGGAAAACTTAAAACCAAAACCCACGTTCGAAGGGGTGGGAGGTATTCAGCAATAGACAGAAAGGCCTCCCTCAGCGGAGGCCCACTCTCTCATCAGCTACAAGCAATTCTCAAATGTGTACATTTCCCCAAAGACACAAAGTTCTCTTCTTTCAACTCTATAACATAACCTTAAAAAAAAAAATCCACAACACTTCATTGGCATCTGACAATTTACAAAGGTCACAACCTTTTAATTAGGGGGAGGGGGAACTAACGTATCTCACTAAGAAAACAAATCTGCTCTACCAAACAAGAGAGGTCCAGCACTGGTGGTTTGTAATTCTAGCTACTTAGGAGGCTGAAATCTGGGAATCAAGGTCCTAAGCCAACCCAAGTAGACTGATATGAGACTCTTATCTCCAAATAAAAATAAAAATTTAAGCCATAGGTAGAACTGTGGTTCAAGTGGAAGACCACTTAAAGGAGAAAGCCAAGTGTGAGAGCAAAAGCCCAGAGTTCAAACCTCAGTACCAGCCCAAAAAGAAAAGGAAATTGGTTCCTGGTCAGTTTAGAGAAGAGGCCACACATGAGGGCTACCTAGGAGCAAGACCTATGGTAGCCGGGTGGTTAGTCTGCTATAGGCAGCTGGCAGCAGGTTACGTAAAATATCCTGGCAGCCCTAGAGGAAGAGGAGGTTGATTTGTTCTAGAGAGGGGGACAAGACCAGGATGTAGAGATGGGCTTTCTGAATGTCAACGGTCACAGGACCTTTGCTGGGCTACGATGAAAGTACGGAGTCCATCATGTCAAACTGAGCCTCAGGGCTGTATTCTAAACACAACCTCAAATCCCCATTGGTGCCTAGCAGTGAGCACAACTCGCACACAACATATAAGCCACATGAAACCCAACTCAGACCCTGAGCAAACACTACCACTGAAGGCATTCCAGAGAGCATTAGGCCCTGCAGTGGACAGAGTCCAAGTTCAGTTTCTTCCACCAAGGAGATGACCTGGCATTCCCTGTAGAAGTCATGCACTCTCTTAGATCAGAAGAAAAACCTTCGGCGCCTCCCTCTCCAGTCCCACCAGGACATAAGCCACATGTGCCATCACAGCGCTCTTCCCTGTGGCTGGCATTCTTTGGTTCTTGTTTTCCTGATGTAACCTCACTAGACATTTTCACTACAAATCACTTTCCCTGTAAGGTAATGTAAGAGTTGAGGTATTGGCAAAGTCAATTAAGGAAGGAAATTAACAATCATTAAGTATACTCAGGTACTTTCACCTACTAATTGCATTTAATCTTTGCAACAATGAAGCATATAATGTAAATTTCCATATGCAAATGTGAAGCAGTAAAGTTTTACAAACAATCCACTCAAAGCCACACATCAACATGAGTGATGGTAAGATTCAAGTACAGTGACTTTTTTTTTTGTGGGGATTGAATTCTGGGCCTGGGCGCTGTCCCTCAGCTATTCAGCTCAAGGCTAGCACTCTACCACTTGAGCCACAATGCCACTTCTGGTTTTCTAGTAGTTAATTGGAGGTGAGAGTCTTACAGCCTTTCCTGCCTGGGCTGGCTTTGAACCTTGATCCTCAGCTCTCAGCCTCCTGAGCAGCTAGGATTACAGGCATGAGCCACTGATACCCAACTACAATAATTTTGGACACCAAAATTTCAAATTCAATTTCAAAATGTTACATTTGACCTGCGACATATTGCCATCCTTTGTACAGTAAAGGAAAAAGAAAGGATTCCCATTCAATTCTGATTTCCTTTAAATACTCATTGTGGAATATCAATGGTTCTCAAAATTTTCCAACCTTTAATTCATATCACATCACATTTCCACAAAATCAAAACCTACACCCTCACTTTTCATATCAGAGCAGATTTATGTAGCAGATCAAATCAGAAGCAGAGTCCCACTCTATTCATCTGCATTTAATGCTAACTTCCACAGAATTACGTCAGCCATTTTTTAACCAATTCTTCCCACTCCTCCCCCACCTACCCCCCAGCCCCCCAGTGTCAGTCACAAGGCTTCAAACTCTCAGCTTTTTTTTTTTTTTTTTGTCAGTCATGGGCCTGAACTCTGGGCCTGGGCGCTGTCCCTCAGCTTTTCAGCTCAAGCTAGCGTTCTACCACTTGAGCCACAGTGCCACTTCTGGCTTTTTCTACTTATGTGGTGCTGAGGAATTGACCCCAGGGCCTCATGCATGCAAGGCAAGCATTCACCACTGAGCCACCTTCCCAGCCACTCTCAGCTTTTTTAGCTCATGGCTGGTGCTTTACCAATGAGCCATACCTCAAGTCCAGCCTTTTTCCCCCTGGTTCACTGGCTTCAGGACTGGCTTCAGATTGTGACCCTCAGATTTCGGCCTTCCGAGTACCTAGGATTACCTAGGTGTAAGCCACTGGTGTCTTTTTGTTTTTTTTTTTTAAACCAATTCCAGTCTTCTGAAAGACACTCACTCGTGTGTGAGCTCAGTGAAATGAACACTGAGCACAGAGGCTTGGGCTTCCTCCATGAGGACAGGGAGACCTGCCATGCAGTCTGACATGGCCAACTGCTTCCAGGGGGCCAGAGAACCACACTAAGCACCCATCTTCCCGTCCCAAAGAACTGGGCAAAGGCCAAGGGTAATTTGGAGTGCTCTATTATTACAACTTTGGCTTTATGACCTTATCTAAGGAATCCTCTCCTCATCTAGCATTGCAGAAGTCAAAAGTAAATTAACTTGCTTATTCATCAACAGCAATTCTCAGTTGCAGTTTTTAAAAACAGCATTAACTCAAGCTGAAAGTATTATTAATTATCCTTAGGGAAGCCTGAGTTTTTACTACCCATAGCCATCCTAAAATAAAGTGATTAATGGTTATTGTTATAATGAGTAAGAAAGTGTTGGTGAGAAAGTCTCACTCTATTGAAACACTGTCTCATTTTAAAGAGGTATCTTTCTATAAGTGACATCTAAGATGGCAGGAGCATCCACGCCAGGTTCTTTTGATGGCCAAGGTCAAAACCTCTCCTTCCTCTGAAGACCTGCAGTGGTGCTGGAGTCCCTCAAGCCTGCCCCGGCCCAGAGCTGCCTAATTAAGTCTCACCTTCAAGTAGGATCCGTAATATTTGGTTACATATGGACTGTCACACTGACTCAGCACTGTGATTTCCTGTTGAATGTCCTCAATCTCATCTTCAGCTTCTTCCAGATCAATGATTTTGATTGCCACTACTTTCTGAGTCCGATTGTCAATGCCTTTGAACACCTCGCCAAAAGAACCCTTCCCAATTTTCTCTAGCTTCGTAAAAAGCTCCTCTGGGTCTGCTTTCAGGTTCTGTAAGAAAGAAAAGAGGAGAAACATTAAAACTTGTGGCCCCAACTATTTCTTCACTTACTGTACTTACGACACAGAACACCTCCGGCTGGGACACAGCTGTAGGTGAGGACCTGAGTTCTAGTCCTCGCTACATCTCCACGCAAACCAGGAGAGACAGCAAGTAACTAGAACAGCTACCCCACTGAAGTAGAAAAAAATGGAAAAGACTCCCAGATTTTGTGTACATGAAAATTAAAATCTACATGTTTACTTGAGTGTGTTAGAACAGATAGATGGCTTCAACTAAAAAACCATTCTCGGGCCAAGACTGTGTCTCAGTTGTAGTAAGCCTGCCACACACACACACACACACACACACACGATTCTGTGTTCAATCTCTAGTAATATAAAGGGGGGGTAATAATGGCTCTATATAAAGTTTCCACTTTTCTCCCCACCCAATCCCCGAAGTTTCCTAGCTTCAGACGGGAATGAAGCACAGGTTACCTAGCTGCCATGTAACTGGAGCATTTTACAGTTCTATGAACAGCTATCCAGTCTCATTCACACTCTTTCCCTGAACAGTAATCAGACCATAGAAAACCATAAGCAGCCTGTTTCCCTAAGTCACACATCATGCCCTTGAAGCGGCCTCTGAAAGCTCTTGACCACCATCCCGATGGTGCAAATACAAACAGTATAGAAGCCCAGCTGTCAGGCCCAGGTGCCCCGAACCACCACCCCGCCCAGAGGTGCAGGCTAGCCAAGTAAGCTACAGGGGCAATCAGCTGTCACCCCCCCCAGGGGCATCTGGAATTGGCATGACACAATATGGGGGGCAGTGCTGACACTTAGCATGTAGAGTCAGGAATGCCGCAAGTCTCCGAACAAGTAACCATCCATCCCCAGACACCAGTGGCTGTCCTATGACAAGCACCAGGCTGAACTGAAGACCACAGGGCGTAGATGGGCCTAGGGCCACTTTCCCATGGACACACCCTCCTGCAGAAGCATGGCGCCCAGGAGGAAGAGGAGGGCTGGTCCTCCAAGGTCTCTACATCCTTCAGACACCAATCATGGGCTTGGGGGTGTGGTTCTGTTGGTAGAGCTCTAGCCAAAGAGCAAAGTGTCAGGTACTGAGTTCAAGATCCCAGTCTTGAAACAAAAAAAAGAAAAGGGAACGGATCATTACAGCAAAGGAACAAGAGGGGAAAGGAAGAGGAGTGAAAGTGGGGAAAGAAAGAAAATGAGAGGCCAGGGAAGAGTCCCAGAGAGCAGTGGTTGGGCGGCTGCCGCAGTGAACCCGCCAGGTCACTTGGTTCAGGGTGAAGCACTCTGAGCTCCGAGCACCTGTGTTACAGAAGCCCTGCTCAACATCACAAGCCCACCTCTACTCTGGGAACCCTGCTCTACCTCGACAAATGGCAGCCATCAGCCCGTAAGGGGCCACAGGAGACCCCCTTCCCACAACCCAGGCAGACCTGAGCCACAGCAAGCAAAATATAAGCTCACACACCCCACTGACCATCCAACGTCTACACCTGAATGTGACATACACACGAGAGAGACTGTGCCACAGCGTTGTGTGCACACGGGAGGGGGAAGACAGCACCCTGCCGGGCTGCAGAGCTGCAATTGTGGCCACAACACATAGCCATGGTGTTCAGCTCACATCTCCATCCGCTTCCACCGCCACCTGAAGGGTACACACTGCAATGGGGTGACTGACAGAGATGTCTCTGGCTGGTTTTTCTAGGCAATTGCTGTTTCCAGTCGTGGAACTAGGTCTCCAAGCTCTTCTAGACCCTGAAAGTGAATTTCAAACTCTGAGAGCATTTGCTACCACGGCCGTCCACGAACAGCAGCCAGAGCGCAGGAGAACTGCGTGAGCTAACTTGTACATTCAAGCCTGACAAGCGCTCTAGGTGGACCCTCACTTCTATCACCTCTGTCCCCAAAGACAGTGAAGCTCCGGGGTGGTCGCCTTTTTCTCCCCCACTCAGCCTGCACACTGCCATGCCCCTCCCCTCCCCTCCGACACAGCCCAGCATCCGGGGGTAAAGGGTAGGGGAAGTGGGGGGAATGCACCCATTTCTCAAGCATAACAGAAGTGAGAGGAGGCTTGCAGTGTCCATGCCTTCCTTACCTCCTTCCCCCCAGGAGGAGGGGGGGTGGTCTTCCTTTTCTTTAAGGCCAGTCCTAAAAGCGGAGCTTTGGAATCCATCCTTCTCTCCTACAGGACACAGCTTTGGCCCACAACTCCCCTTCCGTCTACCTCCCTCCAGTGGCTCTTGGCCCTGGGCAGCATGCCCAGGCTCCTCCCGTTTCAGACAGACAAAAGCACCCCGCTTGACCCCTCTGCCCTCCTCCTCAACGTGCTCCCTCCTCCCGGCTCTGAAGGTCCTGACAGTGGGCTCTACCTGCCAGTGGTCCGCGGCGCCGCAGTGTGGCTCCGGCTAACTCTGCTTACCCGTGATGATGCGGTGTCCTGCCTCGGAGCCTCCTCAACCACGCCCTCCTCCTTCTCCTTGAAACTTCCCAGCCCTTTGGCACCTACAGCCTTGTTCTCAGCTTTCGCCAGCCCTTGGATTCCAGAAGAATCTCACTCACTGGCTCTACCTTGGCCAGTCCCAGTCCAGGATGCAGCCCCACCCAATTCCATCTGAGACCTCATCGAACGCAGTTGGGGGCCTAGCATGTGCATGAGGTCATCCCAGGCCATCCAACCTTCGTGGGCGGCCAGCTCCCTGTGGAAGAAAGGGCCCAGGGACTGTCCAGCACCCATGCAACCACGACAAGTAAGATGTCACTGGGCTTCAGTTGTTTGTTATTCAATAGGAGACACAGCTGGTACACAGCGGACGCTGGAGACCAGGGGCTGTCCTGCCGGCTCAGCCCAGCTCCACTCCCTACAGCCTCTTTTCCTGTCTCCTCTGATCACTGTTGTGTGCAAAGCAACACCTGGCTGAAGAAGAGTCACAAACTGATGCGGTTTGATGCTGGCCTGGGGGGGGGGGAGGGGGGAGAATCCAGAGTGTACTGATGTTGGCCTGGGGGTCAGGGGAGAGGATGTCCAGTGTGTACTGCTGGCCTGGATAGAACAGAAGTCTAGCATGGAATGAAGAACACAGATCCTGATCAGAAGGTCCACTGGTACACTGCTATCATAATGGCTCCAAAAGTACCCTGTGCCCTGTATCCACACACCCCACCCCTGCTGCTCCCAGCAAGCACAGAGCCTGCTCCCACTGCAGAGCCTGGGCTGTCCTTGTGATTTCTAATGATCTTGTTAGGTTTTCAAGGTTAAGCTTTAAGGAACCCTGCAGCTACTACTGGCTCCCTCTTGGAACACCTCCATCCACACACAACAGGCCTGTTGAGAGCCATTTAGAGGCGCCACATGGAGAGAGAGGTACAGCCATCTGCTGTCCCTGTCCCTGAAGAGCCCAGGCCCCCGCCAAGCCCCCAGCTGACCACAGCCATATGAATGAGTCCCAGAGCAACCAAGCCTCCCAAAGGATGACGAGACTCTTCTGGATGATGTGTGACCGGGCACATAATGGGTAAGAAAATGCAGTAGAGTAGGCACAAGTGTCAACTGGGGGGGGGGGTGGGGGTCCTGTACTCTGGAGAGTAAGATCTGGTTTTAATAAATGCCCTGGCTTCCTGTTGCCAGGTCTAAGGTGGCTTAGGAAACAGCTGTTTCCCCTTTTGCCACTTTCCTTCACACATGACCTTTGCCAGAGCCTACTACCTGTCCATAGTGGCCGACGTGTGCCTCACTTCTGCTCAAACTGCATCTGAAAGCTGTGCTTGGCAAGGTGGGAGCCATCTAAGCCTGGCAACAGGGCACTGCAAGAGAACAAGGTTGTCCATGCGGGCAGCCCTGGGCTTTGGCAAGTCTCAGATAAGCTCATTACCACACGCTCACTGACACCATGGCCAGAAGCAAAGCATTGCTTTGCTTGCCAAAGACAATGTATTTCAAAAAGGAACCTCAAGACCACAGTGCCAGAAATTGGTTCCCTGAGGAAAGCAGATCTTCCTGGCAGAAAAGATACCATTTTGCTAATCACCTTGAGATGTTTACGCTGAACTCGGCACAGGACCTCAAGACGCCTTGCCTGACAAGCAGCAGGCGCCGGGGCTGGAGGAGGCCTGCTGGTGCCCAGGCAGGAGGACACTGCACGCAATCAGGGTCTGGCTGGCTACCAAAGGCAGTTGCTAGGTTTCAAGGTCCTCTCCAAACCTCATGCTTGCCTCCGGGATGGCACTAAAAGGACAGTACTAAGATGTGGGCCCTCATCAGGTGATTAAGGTCACAGGGGCTCTGCCCTCGTGAACAGATTAAGCAGCTATCAGGAGTTGTGGGTGCTGGAGAAAAGAATGAGTTCAGCACAATTTTTTTTATGTTTCTCCTGTGTGCTGACTTGCTCTTCCACAATGCCGTGATGTAGCTCAAAAGGCCCTTGACAGGTACCAGCCTTGTACTCTTAGATTTCCCAGTCTCTAGACCTGAAATTGCTTTGTCATTTATCCTCTCTGTGGTATTCTACTACAGCAACAGAAAATGGACTAAGACACACCAATACTGATTTCTCTATAATCACAAAAATCTTTTTATCCATTTAAGAATCAGTCCAACTTCCCAGTTGGGGAATTGAAGGCTAATTGAGAATACATGTATTTTGGAGAGGAGTGCCAGTCCTAGGGCTTCAACTAGCTCAAAGCTAGTGTTCTATCTATACTGCTTTATCTCATTAACTAAAAGATTAGAGGCTCACTTTCCTTCCCAGGCTGGCTTCAATTTGCCATGCTCATATCTCAGCCTCCTGAGTAGCTAAGGTTACAGGTATAAGCCACCAGTGCCTAGATAGGGCTTTATATTTTCATCTTTTTTTGGGGGGGGCGGGGTACAGTCATAGGTCTGAACTCTGGGCCTGGGCGCTGTCCCTCAGCTCTTCAGCTCAAGGCTAGCGCTCTACCACTTGAGCCACAGCACCACTTCCGGCTTTTTTT